ATATATAAACAGTTTGTCACAGCCCCTCGTTTGTTGTCCTCTTCTCTCTCCCTCTGCCTACGGTTTACCGGGCAGTTCTGTTTGTGACGATATATGGGGCTGTGACAAACTGTTTCGTCGGAGTTTCACCGACTCATCAGGAGGCTGAATATACAAATTTACATGTATCGTCAAACAGAGCTGCCCGGTAAACCGTAGGCAGAGAGGGAGGGAGAAGAGAGAAGAGGACAACAAACGAGCGGCTGTGATCAACTGTTTCGTCGGCGGAGTTCCACCTACGTACTCATCGGGAGGTGGCTGCACCCTCAAAAACAGTCTGCAGAATCCCCTAACTGAGTACACACTGTAAGTGCTAGTCCAACTTAACCCCGGTTGTAGGGGTTAAGCATCATCAACCACTGCTCCGACAACTGATATCCCTCGGAGGTGGTGGGGACCACCAACCACTGCCCTCAAGATACCTGTGACGAAAATCAAAGCAGACTATCACTCACCCACACCAGATGTATTTTTATGTATAGATATATTTATATCTGTATTAATATATAGCCTCCTGATGAGTCGGTGAAACTCCGACGAAACAGTTTGTCACACCCCCTCCCTCGTTTGTTGTTGTTGTCCACTTCTCCCTCCCTCCCTTCTTGCTGGCTTATGGGGGGGGGTGAGCCGACAGTCTGTAGAGTTTTCCATCTGGTGTGGGTGAGTGATAGTCTACTTTGATTTTGGTTAAGGTAGATTATCATTTACAGTGTAATCAGTGAAGGGATTCTGCAGACTGTTGAGGGTTCAGCCTCCTGATGAGTCGGTGAAACTCCGACGAAACAGTTTGTCACAGCCCCTCGTTTGTTGTCCTCTTCTCTCTCTCTGCCTACGGTTTACCGGGCAGTTCTGTATGTGACGATATATAGATATAGATATCGTCAAACAGAACGACCCAGTAAAGCGTAGGCGGAAAGGGAGGAGAACGACAAACGAGGGGCTGTGATATCCAAATATATCAATATAGTATTCTGTAATGTTTGGCTGTTCCCTTCCTCTTTTCATTGCCTCGTCGCCTTCTGGCTGTGTGCAACTGGGTCGATATCATATGTATATATTTGACAATATAAATATATGTACTCCAATGTAGATATATATGGCTGAAAAGGAAGGGCGGAAAAAAACAGGAACGTACAAGGCAATGGAGCTGCTTGCGCAACCGTCACGAGTAACAAATCATCAGAAGAATGAACGAACGTAAGGGTCTAACCTTTTCTTTTTTTCTTTTTTTTTCGGACGGGGGGTGGGGGGGAGGGAGGGGGGAGGGGGGGAAACGTAATTGCAAAAAACAAAAAAAGTGTAGAAGAAAAAATTAAAACAACCACTTACTCTATTTACATTGACAGCATGCTCACACCAGGACTTTTATGTATGCAGCTCTGGACGTGATCGCAGCCAGATGCACCCAGGTGTGGTAGTAATTGTGGTCATATACATT